AAGCACTATTCAAGGCTAAAGTGACTGTTACATAAAGTGTCTAAGCAGGCTCTATGTTTCTATCACATCTATCATGAAATAAAACAGTTTGTTTAATCAGTTATAATAAGCGGAAACAAGTTATATATTGTGACAGTTATAAAAAGTGAACAAAATATGTTTGTGATGGTTATACTTTTATGCTTTCATATCTTTCTACGATCTCGCAACAATACATACAATAATATGTATATATACATACAATTGTATATATATTCACTCAGAGCGTTTTCATGAGAGCCAAGTCTACAAAAATATGTATTGTTTACAAAAATGTATTTCTGTTGGAACTCTATATGGAGGAGGAGTGAACGTCTCTGGTTCTACCTCTCCCATATACGTAACTCTATACAATGAACTCTACACAGAACTTTACACAGAACTCTATACAATGAACTCTACACAGAACTTTACATAGAACTCTACACAGAACTCTACATATAACGTTAGAACTCTACATAGAACTCTACACATAACTCTACACATAACTCTACACAGAACTCTACATAGAACTCTACACAGAACTCTACACAGAACTCTATACAGAACTCTACACAGAACTCTATACAGAACTCTACATACTGTATAACTACACAGAACTCTATACAGAACTTTACATAGAACTCTATACAGAACTTTACATATAACTCTATGGAGGAGGAGAGAACGTCTCCGGTTCTACCTCTCTCAAGAACTCTATACAGAACTCTTTAACATAACCTTTTCCAGGTAAACCCTCCCACCTCTTTGTGTTTCAGTCCTCCAAGTCAACAGGGGTCACCAGAGCTGCCATGATGAAATCAGCCATGAGTTCAGGTACAACACCACACCAGTTCAACCAGTAACACCACTTTAACCAGTCTGACCCAGTTCAGTTAACCAGTCTGTCTCTCTACATGTCTGTCTGCTCACCTGTCTGTGTGTCAGAGTCTGTAGACGGAGGCAGCAGTCCAGGAAGTCGTTCCCCCGCCAATCGACCCTCCACTCCAAACAGGGACGTCAAGAAGGTAGGTCCACCTGTCTGTCTGACCACCTGTCTGACTACCTTGTTACCTGTCTGTCTGACCACCTGCCTGTCTGACCACCTGCATTTCAGACCACCTGTCTGTCTAACCACCTGTCTGACTACCTTGTTACTTGTCTGTCTGACTCCCTGTCGTGTCTGACCACCTGTCTGTCTGACCACCTGTCTTTCTGAACACCTGTCCTTCAACCTTTGTAACAGGTCTGACCACCTGTCTGACTCCCTGGTTACCTGTCTGTCTGACTTTTTACTACAGCCCACCTGATCTTTGAGGCTGATACTGATATGTGATTTTGAGTACTACTAGGTAGTACTTGTCATATACGGTAGTCTAATGCGCTTGCGCATATACTGGGGGCTATATGGGGGTTCCGAGAACTGCATGTAAAGGGAGACACACGGTGATCCATTAAAACCAGCTAAGCAAACTAAGAAGCCTCTATTGCATTGATTTACAGTACTGATATCTGAGAGTTTGAGTACTACTAGGTGGTACTGCTAACTAAGAGTTTTGAGTACTACCAGGTAGTACTGGTACAAGTGATTGTATTATATTTATTTAATGTGTTGTTTTAAATCAGTAATGTCTCGTCTTAATGTTTTTATACATTTTTTACCTGTTGCTGCTGTACTGACTGAGTCGCCAACTTAATTTCGTTGTATGTTTTTACATTGACAAACATCCTGATCCGCATGAGCATTTAGCTGGTTGCTAACAGTACTGTGCAGCTCCTCCAGAGCTAGCTTTGCGTTAGCATGTGGTGGGATGTAAACAGCTGTGATCAGGATGGCAGAAAGTTCCCTCGGCAGATAGAAAGGTCTGAATTTCACAGCCAGGTATTCTAAGTCCGGAGAGCAGTGTTTCACAATGATGTCCGTAACTGTACACCAGTCATTGTTCATGTAGATGCACAGTCCTCCACCTCTGCTCTTACCGGAGTCTGCAGTCCTGTCTCCTCTGTTAACCGTTCGACCCGCTAGCTCGATGGCTTCGTGGGGAACGGTGCTGTCCAGCCAAGTCTCTGTAATTACCATCACACTGCTGCTCATGTTGTGCGACGTAATCCTCAGCCTCATTTCGTCAGTCTTGTTGACGAGTGACCGGGAGTTTGCCAGAAAAAGACTCGGTAGAGCTGGTCGGTTGGGGTTAGCTCTTAGCCTAGCCTGCAGGCCGCTCCTCTTGCCCCGCTTCTGCCTTCTTTCCCTCCACCGCGTGCAGCGCCTCCTGGGTGGGATGAAGGTAGCGTCCCCGGGCCCTCTGTCGCAGGATCTCCGGTGGGATAGAATCCAATCTTTCAGGGATGTAGACCTTATACTGTCCTCCAATGTCAAGGAGTTCAGCTCGCCTGTAGTGTATATGAGCCTCTGGTGCATAAACAAGTACACACAAAACACACAGAACGAAAAAGCATGATGGTCTTGGGTCCAGCTACTGACACCAACAGGAAAAGGATGCAAGCCTTTAATACTACTGCATTACATTACAGTCATTTAGCAGACGCTTTTATCCAAAGTGACTTACAATAAGTGTATTCAACATCGGTATTCAAGAGAACTACTAGTCACCAGAGGTCATAAGTGCATCTCCTTTTTTAAACAAGCATCTAAGAGCATAAACCAGAGCAAAAATACAGTGCAGAAACAAACTAATACAAATACAATAAGTGCAACAAACTAATACAAATACAATAAGTGCAACAAACTAATATGAATACAGTAAGTGGTGAGTAGAAGGCTCAGGGTAGTACTTCTTGAAGAGGTGAGTCTTCAGCCTGATGAAAGATGGGCAGCGACTCTGCTGTCCTGACGTCAGTGGGGAGTTCATTCCACCAATGTGGGACCAGGACAGAAAACAGCCGTGACCGGGTCGATCGGCCGCAGGGACCTCTGAGCGACGGGGCAACCGATTGCCCCGAGGCAGCAGAGCGAAGTAGTCGGGCGGGGGTGTAGGGCTTGACCATGGCCTGGAGATAGGAAGGAGCTGTTCCTTTCACTGCCCTGTAGGCTAGCACCACAGTGTTAAACTGGATGCGAGCTCTTACAGGGAGCCAGTGGAGAGAATGGAGAAGGGAAGTTGTGTGGGAGAACCTGGGGCGATTGAACACCAGGCGAGCTGCAGCTTTCTGGACAAGCTCCAGAGGTCTGATGGCCGGGGCTCTGGCAAGTAGTGAGTTGCAGTCGTCCAGGCAGGAGATGACGAGCCTGGATTAGCACCTGCGCCATCTCATCAGTGAGGAAGGGGCGAATCCTCTTCTTTTTGGGGAAATTAGCAGGCCAGTACCACCGCCTCACCTCGCAGCTCTGGGAGTGTGAGAGAAAGACTACACATCTGACAGAACTGCGGGTGTGATGGTGTTTTCTGCTGTGATCCAGGTCTCAGTTAGAGCGAGAAAGTTGAGGGAGAGCAAGGATGCGTAGCCTGAGATTAACTCAGATTTCGGCACTGCCGACTGGCAATTCCAGAGCCCCCCTGCTACCACTTGCTCGCCATGAGCTGAGATCAGTGGGGTCACGGCACCTGGGAGTGACCGAATGTCTAAGTGACACCGGACAGAGGAACAGACAGAAATAGAATGCAAACACATGGTAGTGAATATGAACAGATTACTGAACCGCAAGTACACGCTCGAGAAGTCTTTGCTTGACGAAGTCTGGCTTGAAAAAGTCGCCCTGTTGCCTTTGTTTGCCTGACGCTTCCAGCTACCAGCAGTGGTTAAGGACAGCGATCTACTGATTGCTCATTGTCTGCCAGGAGTGGAAGCCACACCTCTGCCACTTCACAGAGCAATCACAGAGCAATTGGCCAGCTGAAACTCTAATCACACCTAGCTTACCCACACAAAGACTGCAAACAGTACTAATACTGAACCAGCCCAGGTACAGCTAAAAAAAAACTTGTTAAAGCTAGAATAATATACTTAAGTGTGACGACCCTGTCTGCCTGTGTGGCTGCTTTCCTTGCAGGTGTGGCAGAGGATCGTCAGGCAGAGTGGGGACACCTGAGGCAATTAACAACACTGGCCCTGTGTGCCAGTGCACCCTTTATAAGAACCCTCTGGATCCTCAGTTTGCCTGGCTCCTTCCTGAGACTTTCGGTTGTGGTTGTTTTCTACACTATACAACACTGCATATTCACTTTACATGCACCCACTCACACTGCTGAAATGACTGACTTCAGTTTATGTTTGTCTTTTATATTACTTTAAACTTAATAAATAATTGATTAACTGTTTCATTGAATGCATCTCCCTTTTTTGTCATGGCCGTTCGGCCCGGTTTGTGACAAGTGGGGGCTCGTCCGGGATAAATTGATTGGTTTGAGGCTGATATTTGGTTCTGTGTGTGGAGATGCATTTTTTGGCAGCAGTGAGTACATGGTCTTCTAGTGTGTTCGTTGACTTTTGTGGAGTGTCCCTGGATAGGTGAAGCAACGTGGTCCGTGTGGCTGCGTTGGTTTGTTTTTGTTGTTTGTTATTTTTGTGTGGTGTGCGGTCAGAGCAGTTGTCTCGGGGACACATCCATAGCTGTCAGGTGAGTAACCAGCTTGCTGGGGGCTTAACTGGGCTATTGGTTTAAGTGTTTAAAAAGCCTCCCGCTAATCTGCATGAAGACTAGGGTTCAGTGAGGTAGATTAGTTTGGTATAGGCAGTTTAGGTAGAGGGACTTCCACATTAGTTTGGGCGACATATCATTGTCTCTTTTACGGCACTAGTTGACCTAGAAAACACTGTCTGGTTTTGGGTGGCCTTTGACCTGGTCTATTATGGCAGGGGTAGAGGACTTTGTTGATGCTCCAGGTGAGGAGTTTCTGGATCGTTGCAGTAGAGATCAGCTCTTCAAGATTGCAGAAGAGTATGATATTGATCTAAGTGGTGTTGGTGATAAACGGCTTAAGGAAAATGTAAAGGCTATGGTTAAAAAGCAGTTGGTTGAGAGAGGGGTGCTGGTTGCTAAACAAGAGGGACTGGGTCAGTCAATAGCAGTACCGGCACTTTCAGTTCCATCGGGGAACCTTAACTTTGAGCAGCAAAAATAATTGCTTCTGTTACAGTTTTCTCATGAGAAGGAGAAACAAAGAGTGGAAGTGGATAAACAAATGGAAATTGAGCGGTTGCGGTACAAATTAGTACAGGAAAAGATAGCATTGCAGAATACGAAGTTAGGCTTAGTCAGAGATGGTAAGCTTTCTGGAGATGTTTTGCACGCAAAAAATGGTTCATCATCGCGTTCTCGCGATATTGTGAGTAATTTGCATCTCTTGCCTAAGTTTAACGAGAAGGATCCGGATGTGTTTTTCTCACTGTTTGAGCAGATTGGACAGGCAAGAAATTGGTCAGACTCTGAGCAAACCTTGCTGTTGCAGTGTGTGTTGTCAGGAAAAGCCCAGGAGGCATATGCAGCTTTAGATAATGATCTAACTTATAAATCAGTCAGGGATGCTGTACTGAAGGCGTACGAGTTGGTCCCTGAAGCATATCGCCAGCGTTTTAGGATGTTGGAAAAAAGGTTCAACCAGTCTCATGTGGAGTTTGCGAGGGAGCTGACAAATAATTTCAATCGTTGGTGTATGTCTTCTGATGCTAATGATTTTGAAAGTTTGTGTAATCTGGTCGTCTTGGAACAATTTAAGAACACTCTGCCCAGTCGTGTTGCCACATATCTTACTGAGCGTAAGGTTACAACTGCCAACCAGGCTGCTGGGTTGGCTGATGAGTATGTGCTCAGTCATAAAAGCCGGCTGGGTGAGCATGTGTTGCAGAATGATGGAGGTGTTAAGTCATCTGTTCACTTGGGGGGTTTTCCAGGTAGGGCGCCTCGTGGAGCACCTGAAATGGGAGAAAATACGTGCCATTACTGCCGTGAGGCAGGCCACTAGAAACAGGACTGCCCAATGCTTAGGGATAGGAGGCAGCAGGCTGGAGGTGGGCGGCTAAAACCTTCTGCACTGGTTGTAAGCGTTCCTGGTCCTGTGGGAGTGTGGCAAGGTGGGCATGCAGAATGTGACGTGGTTGGTGGCCCCGATGAGTGCTATCGGCCTTTTGTCTCCGAATGGTTTATAACACAGACTGGTAGTGACATTAAGGTGCCCGTTAAGATTTTGAGGGATACGGGTGCTGTTAACTCCTATGTTCGAGACTCCATTTTGTCATTTTCAGATGAGACGGATACAGGGGATAAACTCCTGATGCGAGGAATGGGGTTGAGGGTGTTGCCTGTTCCGGTGCACATGCTGAATCTAGACTGTGGCTTGGTGCAGGGCAGAGTTCCTATTGGGGTGAGACCAGCGTTACCAGTGGAAGGGATTGACATCATTTTGGGCAACGACCTGGCTGGCAGTCGTGTGTGGGCAGATGTACCTCCTCCTCCGATAGACACTCCCTTTCCTTCAGCCTCAGAACAGCCTGATGAGAGTGCTGTAAACTTCCCCGAAGTTTTTCCTGTATGTGCGGTTACTCGATCGATAAGTCTTGCTGAATCAAAGGAGGTAGATGGGGAGGTGGAGGAAAATTTGCCGTGTTTACCTGATTTTCATTTGTCTCTGTCTCATAGTGATCTGCAGAATGAACAGAGAGCAGATCCAGCCTTGGAGGAGTTGTTTGGATCAGTGCTGTCAGTTGGTGAGGCGAAACATGTTTCCAGGGGCTACCTTCTTCAAGATGGTATTTTGGTGAGGAAGTGGGTGCCCCATGGTGAGGATTTTGTTGGGAATCCCATTTTTCAAGTTGTCATTCCAGCCAAGCTTCATGGTCATGTGTTAAGACTTGCTCATGATGGATCAGGGCATTTGGGTGTCCGGAAAACCTATGACCGGATATTACGCCATTTCTTCTGGCCACGAATGAAAAGGGATGTTTCTATGCATATTAAAACATGTAGTACGTGTCAGCTGACTGGTAAGCCAAATCAGGTCATTAAACCAGCTCCACTGGAGCAGATTCCAGCTATCAGTCAGCCGTTTGAGTACCTAATCATTGATTGTGTGGGGCCGCTGCCCCGTGCGAAGTCTGGTAGCCAGTATTTACTGACTGTTAAATACTGTGTCAAAGCACCAGGTACCCGGCAGCGTATCCTTTGCGAACAATAACTGCAAAATCTGTGGTTAAGGCCTTGACACAATTCATAACTGTGTTTGGCATCCCTAGAGTCATACAAAGTGACCAGGGATCAAATTTTTCTTCTCACCTGATGGCCGAAGTGTTAAAACTGCTAGGTATCAGACATAACCAGTCGTCTGCTTATCACGCAGAGTCAAGGCGCTTTGGAGCGGTTTCACCAAACACTCAAGTCTCTTTTGCGCTCATATTGCACTGAGCTAGATGGAGACTGGGAAGATGGGCTACCATGGTTGCTGTTAGCTGCACGGGAGTTTGTACAGGAAAGTACAGGGTTTAGCCCAAATGATCTAGTGTTTGGCCACACTGTCCGGGGCCCATTGTCTGTGTTTAAGGATGGTTGGAAGGAGTCAGATCCGCCCACTAACCTTATTGATTATGTGAATGGGTTTAGACATCGACTTTATTCTGCAGGGGAGTTGGCAAAGGAAATGTTGGCCGCATCACAAGCTAAAATGAAGAAGAGGTATGATCTCCAGGCTGAGATACGTGAGTTTAGTGCCGGTGATCGAGTTTTGGCCCTTTGTCCGGTGGTGACTTCACCGTTCCAGGCCCAAGTTTTCTGGTCCGTTTACAGTGGTCAAACGCATCTCAGACAAGAATTATTTGGTTTCAACTCGTGGTCGCAGGAAACCTATTAAATTGTTCCATGTGAACTTGCTGAAACCCTATTATGCTCACTCTTCTAGTGCACCTGGTGATGTCCAGCAGGAACCAATGGTTGTTGTCTGGTCGGCTGAAAAATTCAGGGACCCTCTTGAGGTTAAAAGGGTTGTTCAGCCATTTGCCAGAAGCACAGGCTGAGGAATTGGAAGAGCTGATTTTGAAGTATCCAGATTTGTTTGGTGACGTACCGTCCCGTACTAACTGGGTTGAGCACGACATCGAGGTAGGGGATGCGCAGCCTATCCGTCAGCATTTTTATAGAGTTTCTCCTGAGAAGCGTAAATATTTGGATGGTGAGGTAAAATATATGATTGACAATGACATTGCGGTGCCTTCATCATCAAGCTGGGCTTCTCCATGTTTGTTGGTGCCTAAAAGTGACAAGACACCCAGGTTCTGCTTAGATTTTCGAAAGGTCAACAGGGTGACAAAGCCAGATTCCTTTCCATTGCCTCGTATGGATGATTGCATAGACCAGGTGGGGGCAGCAAAGTATGTCAGCAAATTTGATCTGCTGAAGGGTTACTGGCAGGTGCCCTTGTCCAAAAGAGCACAGGAAGTGGCAGCTTTTATCACTCCATCTGGGCTGTATTCATATAAAGTGATGCCATTCGGGTTGAGAAATGCACCGGCCACGTTTCAACGGCTGATGAATCGTGTGGTGGCTGGCCTGGCCGGTTGTGCAGTTTACCTGGATGATTTGGTGATCTATAGTGATTCGTGGTATTCGCACATGCAGCGGATTAGAGCACTGTTTGACCGGTTGGCAGAGGCAAAGCTTACCGTAAATCTAGCAAAGTGTGAGTTTGCTTGTGCAACAGTGACTTACCTTGGTCGGGTGGTCGGACAGGGGCAGGTGGTTTTTTAACATTGCTAAAAGCCTCCTGGCACTGTGTTGACCACACAAATTGAACCTTGGCCTTCAGCAAGTCAGTAAGCGGTGCCACAACAGAAGAAAACCATGTCCACACTACTCTGTTTACGTTTGGAAACACATATGTTTTGCTACATTTACACTGAGCGGCCACACTACGCCAGAGTTTTGGAGCACCCTAAGCGAAGGAGTTTGAAAATACTCCCGAGGTTGGAAGAGTTTGAAAACTCCGGGGTTGCATTTGCGTGTGGACGGTCGGAAACGGATGTGTTTAGAAAAAATGACGCCTACACCCGTGTTCGCTACTTGATTGGTTCTTAGCAGCCATGACGTCTCCTTCCCTGATTCGTCACACTCACTATCACGTGACCCGTACCCGGAAGAAAACAAACTGGGCTACCAGTGATTCATTTCAACATGGATAATGAATTTCAAGCATTGCTTGCTTTGTTGTCTGTACTAGCAGCTTTTGTGCAGTAAAAGTCTGTATTTCTGTGGAGGAAGCAGCTGTTATTGGAGCGATTAGCGAGTAGCGTGACCAGCGGCGTCATCAGCCCTATGGAGCGGCCGTCTGAAGCCACAGTTAGCAGTAAATGCTATTCAGAGCTACGAGTGAGAACAGACAACAACAACACGGAGGAAACCAGTGAGAGACGTGTGTTGACCACATTTATGGACCCATAATCTAGTAAACGTTTACGTGTAAGTGTTGATTTTAAAGTAAATTTGATATGTGTGAGAGAGAGAGAGATAGAGAAAGACCCGCAGCGCTGTAACTAAGTCTGAAAAATAAAACTTCTAAAACTTTCCACGAACTGTCTGTTTGAGTTTATAGAGGGAGATTTTAGAGGAAGATCTTAAGTATCAAACACAACCTTTCATTATTAAAGACTACTTTATTACTCTGTCGTATTTTTTTAAACTAGGCAACCAATCTACTTCCTGTTTACACCGTCACGCGCATGCCCGGTGTACGTTAATGGTCACGTGCTGTCCGTCTTCGAAGGCTGCCGTGTGGATGCAGATCAATTCGAAAATGATGCTGAAACGCCCGTGTGGACGGAGATCATTTCTATTTGAAAAATCTGCTTCCAAATAGAAACGGAGTAGTGTGGCTGTAGCATGAGTCTATTCTAGGTGAGTCTAGTAGTTACTACTAATACTAGAGTACTAATACTAATACTAAAGTACTACTAGTACACCATTAGCATTCCTCCAGTAAATTCCACTTCAATGAAAATAACTAGTTTTACAAAAATGTAAATTTCAAGATTTTAACTGCAGAATCTTTCTTACTGGTTAAACTGGTTGTGGTCTGGTGGTCATGTAGGTGGCGGTGGTCCGAACCCCCCCCAGGTCTCCGGTCTCTGCTCGAGGACGGACGCCCCCCCCTTCCGTCTCACCCCATGCCCGATCTCAGCAACGTGAGGTCAAAGATCGGATCTACGGAGAACCTCAAACACACTCCTGGGGGGGGGGCAAGGTAACACACACACACACGTTTAACAGTTTTACTTGAGAAAAGACAGACGGCTACTGACTCCTGTCTGTCTGTAGGTTCAGATTCCTCATAAGAAGTTGAATCTTACTAGCGTGTCATCAAAGTGCGGCTCCAAAGACAACATCTGCCACAAACCAGGTAACACACACACACATATGAGAGTTTGAGTACTACCAGGTAGTAGGCCTACTGATATCTACATACACGCTCAGGTGACTCTATACTATTCACTCTGTATATGTATATTTTTAGTAGTAGATAAGCAGTTTTATATTGATATATTGTACTATTGTGTATATAGTGTGTGTATAAATACTGTGTATATTGTGCACTATGTTGTACAGTATGATATAATGATGTGGTACTCTATGATATAATGATGTACTTGTATGATATATTGATGTACTCCTGTGTGTTGTCAGGTGGAGGGAAGGTGGATTTTAAAACCGTTCAGTCTAAAGTTGGTTCTCTGGAGAACATCACTCATGTGCCGGGAGGAGGGAAGAAGAAGGTACATGCTAACAACACACTGACAAACCACCACCAACATGCTAAAAGTCTGCTAACAGCATGCTAACAACACGCTAACAGCATGCTAACAACACGCTGACAAACCACCACCAACATGCTAAAAGTCTGCTAACAGCATGCTAACAACACGCTAACAGCATGCTAACAACACGCTGACAAAACACCAACAACATGCTAAAGCCTGCTAACAGCATGCTAACAATACTCTAATAGAACACCAACATGCTAAAACCTGCTAACAGCATGCTAACAATACTCTAATAAAACACCAACAACATGCTAAAACCTGCTAACAGCATGCTAACAACATGCTGACAAAACACCAACAGCCTGCTAACAGCATGCTAATACCACGCTAACAGCATGCCAAAAACACGCTGACAAAATGCAAATAACATACTAATAAAATGCTGACATAATACGTGACCCAAGTGTAATATATATATATATAATTTATGGGCGTACAGAATCTCTTATACAAATCCCAGAAGCTGATTGGCTCATTTACATGACGTCCAAACGAGAATAGCTGCTGAAATTGATCTCATATTTCATTAAGCACGTTTTTTCTATGGTTGGCTACATCTCTATCTATATTTACACCTTTACTATTATACACTTCATATCTCTATTTAATATATTTACATATTACACTTTATCTTTTACACTGTTTTACTAAACATTCCATCTAATTATCTTTCTACACGTTATTTTCTTATATCATGATACAAATCAGTGTTCATCAAGTAACATTTTTACAGAGCAGATGTCAGATGTGACAGTATTTGTATTGACTGACAGATTGAGAGTCAGAAACTGAGCTTCAGAGAGGGCGCCAAAGCTCGAACCGACCACGGTGCTGACATCATCGTGCAGCCTGACTCCTCCCCCCAAAGCCTTAACGCTGCTCAGGCTCCGCCGCTCGACACCCTGGCCGACCAGGTGAGAGATTTACCTGTTTACACCAAAAAAAGCACAGACAAACACACACACACATTAATGAACAACCTCCTCTTCCTGTCAGGTGTCCGCCTCCCTCGCCAAACAAGGCCTGTGATTGGATGACCTTGTGCCTTCAGACCCCGCCCCTTCTGTTACCAAGGAAACTACCTGATGAAAGAAAGAAAGAAAGAAAAGAAAAATCATCATTCTCCCTTTTTCCTCATGACCTTCATCTGATATTAGACAGTCAGGTTTGGAGAGATTTTATTATTAGTGATGTTGTGTTCACACCAAACACTAAGTTTGTTTATTTGTTTCCTCCATGTAGACACACAACAAACAAACTCTTACTGCTGTAAATGTAAAAGATGTGGAGTCATTGGTTCATTACATCAACGCTGTATCTCGTGAGTGTGTCGGCTGGTTCACCACGTTGGAATGAACCCAAATGAAGAGATTTTGCTGTGATTTAATTGTAATAAACAAATAAAAAAGAGGCCTAAATAACCACATACTGATACCAATTTGTAAAAGGTCTAAAGTCTTTGGTTTACACACGTACATTTATACATTAAAAGTCTGTTGAGACGTTTAATAAGTTGCTCTGCAACACATTTCTCAGCAATTTTGGAAACGGCAGGGAGAATACCGATTGGCTGATAATTAGAGACATCGGTTGAATCTCCTGACTGAAAAATGGGTGTTACTGTGGCTGATTTCCATCCTTTCGGAAACACGCATTGCCTGAGAGATTTGTTGACGATGCTTGTGAGCGAGTGTGCCTTTGTTTCTTTAGAAAAATATTGTCAATTCCATAAACATCTTTGGCCCCAGAGTTCTTGAGTGAGCCTAGAACTCTGGTGACAGTAGATTCAGAGACATCCTGATTAGAGAAGCACGGTTGACCTTCATTTACTGGTGTACGATCAAATTGACCAATACTCGGTGGTGTACAGTAACGAAGTAGAAATACTTCGTTACTGTACTTAACTCGTTTTTTTGGATATCTGTACTTTACTTTACTATTTATATTTCTGTTGACTTTTACTTCTCTACATTTTGCAAAGAAAACTGATACTTTTACTCCGATACATTTCCCCTGAAACCTTCGTTACTCGCTACAAAATCAAATCTATCTTTAGAAACAAAATGAATCATGAGACCAACGTCGGGGACTGTGGTGGAACACAGACTGCAAGCAAGCAGGTTTGGTGAATCAGTGGTCCTAGCTTGCAAGTTAAATCATTGGTTAATCACGTTAACGCGCAATTGCAAACAAGTGCTCTCAAAGCCGCGGTGTTTTGATTCCCAGTGATGCCCAGGATGCCATATGCTATAGCTAGCGAGACTACATGAGCAGAATTCCACTCTACGATGACTGATTTCATGACGGAAGCAGAAATGGAAGCACCTGCTACTCCCGCAACAAACTACGGTGGTGACGAAGACCAACACCCGAGGATCGCTAGCGAGTTAGTGAGCTGAGGAAGTGTTGACAGTTGTGAGATTTTGTTGATTTGAGTCATCTTAGCTATAATCATTGCAGCACTAGTTGGCTAACGTTAGCTAACTTAACGTTAGCTAGCCACCACACCATAGGATTGACAGGAGCCGCGAGAGCGCAGCATTTGTGTTAGCATTAGGGAAATCCTTCCCAGCTGTGAGTAAGCTGTGCGCAAGCTGAACACACCTCTACCTGCCTCAGCGGCCTGTGAAAGGCTATTTAGCATCGTAGGACTAGTCTTCAGCCCAAGAAGAGCGAGACGGAATTCTCGCAATTTTGAAAACCAACTTCTTTTGAAGATGAACAGGACATTTTTCAGGTTCAAGTAATGACTGGGTTGTTACTTTCGATGCTGCTTTAGTATTGATCATGTTTTGATATTTGAGTCATTTTGTGGATGATCAGATGGAGTTATGATGGTAGCAGTCGCCCAATTGCAGATTCAGCTTGAGCAAAACCTTTGCCTGTTGTGTTCAAATCAGGCCCATAGGAGTTTACAAGGCAGGCGTCCTTTCTCACAACACTGACCTGATGCATCAAGTGGATATTTGTTGCTGAACACAATATGATGCATTTTCCCTCTACATCCTCTAGTCGGAATGAGCATACTTATAAACGCACTGTTGCAACTCCTTCATAGTGTCATATTGCTTTTCGGAGAATTATGATAAGTTCATAGTAGATGCAAAAGTATACTTATGTACAATATATTATGTTGAACATTGTTGCTCCTGGATGGATCACAGCCAACCCAATTATGTTCAACACAGCTCCATGTCCTTGGTCATGGTGCCACAGCACTTAAAAGAATAAACTTCATAATTCTCATAATTCTGACCCTTTGCTTTTTTATTAACAGCATTTACTTGTACTTTTACTTTCAATACTTCAGTACATTTAATATCAGAAAATTACTTTTGATACTTAAGTACAATAAATATCAGATACTTTAAGACTTTTACTCAGTTTTCTTAGTTGGGGCTGGCTCAGGTTTATAGTTAGGACTGGTTCAGGTTTATAGTTAGGACTGGTTCAGGTTTATAGTTGGGACTGGTTCAGGTTTATAGTTAGGACTGGTTCAGGTTTATAGTTAGGACTGGTTCAGGTTTATAGTTAGGGCTGGTTCAGGTTTATAGTTAGGGCTGGTTCAGGTTTA